CTTTTTTAATTTACAGTCACTGCCATCTATCATGACAATTTCACCTTTTCAAACCTTCCCCCGCACATTTTCTATCTAAAATACTCTTTTCTTTTATTTATTTTATTCTATTTCTATTACTATTTGAGTGTTTTGTTGTTTTATTTGTAGTTGTAGATTTAAAAACAAAAAAAGAAAACTAAGCACAAGGTACTGCATTTCACGCCATGTGTTTTGTCCCTTTGAAACCATCCATGTATCTATTTATGTCTCTCTCCAACAGCCATGTCTTTTGTCAGGTTGTATTGTTCAAAAGTCTCTTTTCCCTTCTTCAACACCCACCACTTTCTTTCATTTTAATAATAGTGATTAATTCTTTTTGTTTTTAATCAAAGGGTTTTTATTAACACTCATTAAGATATTATTATTATAAATATATTTGCATTAACGTAATTTTTTTTTTATTTTAAGAGAGGTCAACTCTATTTACAAAAAAAAAAAAAATTGATTCGAAACCAAATCTTGACGTCTTTTTAAATATTTTTGTGGTCAATAAATTATGAATTGAAAGATTGTATCAACCTAATAGTTGATAGTTAATGTGATTTGTGATAGTTTTAATACAAAAAAATACTCTTCATTTTTTTTTCATCTTTCTTTTTGAATGCTAGAAAAGAATATCATTTTTTTTAACATCTAAAATTCTTAATTTTTATATTTTAAAATTATTTTACTTTTTAACATTAAAAATTATGAAATTTTAATTTTATAAAAAAATTATATTTTAATATTAAATATATTAAAATCAAATTTGTTTAAATTCCGTAAAAAACAATAACATTTAAACAATTTGATATGAAAATAATATTTTTTAGTATGATAATCTTTAACTAAATCATTAATCAATCAGTAATTTAAGTTGAACATGCTATGCGTTCACTATTAAATAATATTATATAGGATTGATACAAACACTAATTCCCAGAATATATTTTTAATAAATTTCAAAAGGGAATTAAGCGATATACTTACCAATAAAAAAATGGGATGTATTTACTTTTAGCCTCTTATTTAATATTTTACATGGAGTTCATATTCCTAGGAATATTTTCTAGTATCTGTTCAGGAAGAGCAAACTATTGATAATTTTTGCATTATGATTAATTAATTATAATTTAAAATTTTATAAAATTCGTTAATTTTTTTATAAAAGTTCACACTTATAACTTGTAAATGATAAATTTTTATATAATTAAATAATTATAAGATTGTAATAAAAAATTAAAAAATAAATATTTTTTTATTAATCATATAACATACGTGTTTAGACCAAATTTATGAATGTAATGAGATTTAAGATCAATAATTGCTAAAATTTTGAACAATTGTTTTTTTTTGTCAGAAAAGGGTGATTCATTAATAATATTAGTTTTGATGCTTATTATAAATAAATACACCATTACACGGTTAAATGCGAGCCAACAATCGCGTAATGTATTGATATAATAATTAATAATTAAGATTTAAATTTTAATAATCTTAAATCTAAAAAAAAAAGCACATTAATAGATATGTAATATTACAATTTCCTTTTTTTATTTTAAAAAATCCAAACTGGAAAATAATTTGACCACTAATAAAAGTGAAAATTGTAGTGGGCAAGTAAGCAGAGATGGCCATGAGCGCATATAAAATTGTGGGCAATAGTTGATTTAGTTTGCATGGAACAGTTCCAAGTTCGTCTTGTTTTTAACTATCAAGTGATGTTGCATAATGTCTTTTCATATCAATTGCACAAACAGCACAAACTTAGTTGTTTACTGTGAATGTTGCCACCATTACAACAGTTCATCTTGTCTTCTTATTGGATCAAAATAATAAAAAAACAAAAAACAGTGGGGAGAGGGATTTCAGATTTCCTGGTGATTCCCTATGCAAGCAACCGCTTCTAGTCTCACAATCATGAAAAGAATCTGAAGAATTAAAAAAAAAAAAAGAATTGCCATCATTGTGGAATCAGATTTTTTTCATAATGCTGCCACTAGCTAGCATGGCAATGGAGTGTCAATCCATGGAATGACAGGCTATTCAACAGATCCTGCAGTCTTCTGGTTAGCAACACTTTTGGATAGAGCATTTATATGGAGATAAATTAACTTTAATAATCAAAATTTAATTATTAATATCTTCCAGTAAAAAAAGCAGGTAGATAGTGTCAAAAGCATATATAAAAATGGAGGATCCAGTGCTAGTAGCAAGCAATAAATTCAGGTTTTTTTTTTTTTGCCGGGGGGGGGGGGGGGGGTTATTTTCTCTTTGGGTATATAGCATCAAACAATACAAAGCATTATGGGACAGAGAAAGGATAGATTCTAATTCCTAATCCTATCAGGATAAAATTTATATGAAATTTTTAAGTGAAATTTGTGAAATTTAAAAAAAAATTTAATAAAAATTTAAATCAATAAATTGATAAAATTTAATATAAAAATCAATAATATATAAAAAATTTAAAAATATTATTTATAATTCAAATTTAATCAATATTTATTTAATGATAAAAATTTTGTTAATATTTTTACTAAAAGTATTTATCTAAAAATATATATGAAAATTTATTAATAATTTTAAAAATTTTACACAATTAATTTATATAACAAAATTTATTAATTTATCGATTTTGATTTAATTATTTCTAATAAAAATTTTTACAAATTTCACTTAAAAACCATATAAATCTTTCACATCATATCTATCATCCCTGATATATTTATGGCTCTCTCCCGTTTATGTATAAGCCACATGCTCCCATTGCAGAACATGTCCTGTTCCAAGTTTACATGAATTCAGAGCATACTAAAGTTTTTTCCCTTTCCTTTCTTTCTTGTTCTTCTCTCATCATTCACCCTTACCCTACCATCACCACCTCCTCTATACATTCTTGTTCCCTCTTATGTATGTCAATTAAATTTCGTATCTTTCACCGCAATGGGCCATAAGATGAAGGGTCGCAATCGGTAATAAGTGCTCTCCCATCCCAAAAGAATAAAACTTTATATATAATAATAATATAATCAAAGTTACCCTCAAACCCGGACCTAATTCCTTTCACAATAATTTTAATGACTTTTTCACATTGATCTAATGTATTCAAAATTTTATTATTGGAATGCTTTATAAAAATTGAACACGAGCTAACAAGAAAGAGAACTCTTCCCCTAACCAACTGAATCCCTTATGAATATATATTTTCAAATAATTCCAAAAACAAACCAACCTTTTGTTTGTGTGTAGATATTCTTATGGTTACGAATTATTAATCCCAAATTTGAAAACATGTCTGCATGCATGCATGCATATACAGGCTTATCTATTCTACTCTATGTCAAGTCTATTCCTTAGTATCATGGGAAATTCAAATGCTCATGTTGCTCTTTCACTTCTACACTTGAAATCTAGTACTACTATTTAACAATTAAAAAACATTTAGTGAAGATAAAAATTTATATTTACTGCATTGCCTGTCTATATACATCATCAGTAAATTACAACTCAATATTCCATCAAATGATTTTGGGTTAAAGAAAAATTGAAGAATCAAGGTTTTTTTTTTTTTTTGTCCATGAAATTGAGGTCTCTATTGCTTAAATTAATTTGATTAATTAAAAGACACAGAAAGAAAATACATATGGACATTAAAAAAAAACACAGACACAGTGAGAAGTTATGATGAAAGAAAAAGAAAGAATAGCCAATTCACCAAAAGGAAGCATGACAGCAGGGTTATAGCAAAGAGAGCCCATTTTCAGGATAATAGCAATGGAAGCTGACTTTTGAAAAGATCTGAAGAGCAGGGCCTGACGTTCACTCGGCTATAGTAGCCCAAGGCGAAAATCCGACCACCCACCGACAGTAATTGCCCACCTCCTGGTGCTCCTCTTAGCAAGAATAATATTAAACCAAAGCCTGAATGGGGCCCATGTAAGGGTAATGAGCCCCTGAAAATTAGGACAGTGTGCTTTTGAGCCCACCCCACCTTGTGTAAACATGCTGGCAAGGGCTAAGACCAGCTTTCATTTACCCCACTCTTGGTTGGAATGATGTGGATGCGTGGTGGGCATGAATAGTGCTTGCATAATCCACTGCGACAACAATTAAGCCCTATTGGCTGTTCTCCCAACCGACGCCGATAGGGACAACTCCATTGTCGCTTGGGGACTCAGCAGAGTTCGCATGAATAGTGCTTGCAGGTTATTACATTCCATGTGTAGTTCACATGAGATGATTAACCAAAACTTTGAGCTGTAATACATGAAATGCTGTTATGGTCTACTTCGCCATAAATAAACATAGGGCCAGCCCTTTATACACCAAAAACATGAAAAACTTCTCTGCAAGACAATTTCAGAGGTGCTATGATTGTAAAGTACTGAACTTTTTCCATGTTTAATCAGTTAAGGCTGAGAATATGGTGACTAGGCATGGAACAATTTTGAATGATAAGAAAATCTCTCAGAAACAAAGGTCAATGTCTACTGATTTGACGCATTGTCCAACTCAGATAATGGCGCATTGCGTCAGCCCGATTAGAGATATATATGATTATTATCGGCTAGTGGTGATTGTTTCCAACTGCTCAGTTGAACAGCCAACCAGCCCAAGGGACCCAATATGTTTGTACCCTTTGGGCCTTTGGCTACACTAAAAATGAAAAAGAAAAAAAAATGGAGAAAATATGCAGGATAATGACCAGATTATGATGGGGTCTTATTCGATTATTTTTTTTAATATCTTTTGTAATTCTTTTATTAAACACTATTAATAGAATTAAAAGGACTTCCTATTTTTAATATGCACATCAAGAGGAGTCAGGACTAATGGTCTAATGGCACTGCCAGAAATAAAAATGCTTCGGACTGAGAACGTCAGCAAGTTTGAGGGTTCATGATGAGCTTCATATTCACTTTGTAATTCGTTTCATATTTTCCAGTAGGCCAAGTCTGTCTAGTTCTATATGTTATTCGTAACTTTGAACATGTCAATCGTTAAGATACGAGATTTTGAAACCCAGTGCTTCAGAGGCGGTAAGGAAATATCGGGTGGTTCGCTGCTTCAGCTTCTCAGACTACAAACCACGGTCAGCACTCAGCAGTGTTCATTTCAAGCCCATTAAGGATGGCAGCCGACCATCCTGGACCTAAACCGCATTTTTTAACTATCTTAACATTACATGGGGAATGGCATGGCTATACACACAAGCACCCAAAGAAAATTTTGGTCATAGGAGAATTGGAATATTCTTCTCACTAATTGATTCAAATTCAAAATATATAGGAATTAGGGCATTAATTTTACTGAAAGCAAAATTCAGAACACCAACATGGCAACCAACAATAACAAAACACGACCAAAGACCCCAAAACAAATATATGCCAAAAATCTTAGCTACATTGGTCTGCCGTCCTCAATAAGCTGACAGACAACTCCACCATATAATCTGAAAATATTAAGAAGATGACAGCACATCCAAATGAAGGCAAGATTTAAAGTAGCAGAAAATGTTGAAGAAGCCCCTCAAGCAGTGAAAACCCTCTATTCAAATATATCATCATCGTCATCTGGATGGGGCTGGCTGGCTGGCTGCCTGCTGCAAGTTCAGCTTCATGTCTACAACAAACCCAAAGACGCCAAAATTAAGACAAGAAAAATGAATTAAGTACATTAAGATGATTAGAATCATATCATTAGAACATTGGTTTTCAAAAAGAAAAAGAAAGAATCAATCCGTTAGATTGTTTAAAATCCTTCTTGCACAGAAATAAAAAACCAGTAATGCTCACATTTCTGATAACAGCATGTGAAAAAATGAATGCAAAGTTTGCTGAGGAAGATCTTACCATTGTTGTGCAGCCAAGTCAATGTGCACTTCTGGAGGAACAAAAGCAGGAGACTCCACAAAGTGAAGATTAGGATCACTCAAATCATCAAGGCATCATCAATATTAGGCATCAGTCAAAGCATTGGCATAAAACATCGAAACAAAAGAAAGGTAATGTTCTGTTACCCAGCAAGCTTCCTGGCAAGGTACAAGAAAGGCTTCTCAAAATTGTAGTTGCTCTTGGCAGAAATTTCATAATATTACAGATTCTTCTACCTGCAGACTGTGACCAGCTTCGACTTGACCAGCCTGTTCTTTTCATCAACCTTGTTACCGCAAAGAACAATAGGAACATTCCCACAGACCCCACATTTGCAACAACATAGTTACATAAAGCTGTTACAACAGGATCAAAACAAACCGTGAATGATGAGACTGTCAATTTTAACACAACTGCAAAGATCACGGTGCCATGTAGGTACATTCTTATATGTCAAGCAGGTAGGTATAAAAGCAATAGCAATAGTGATAAAATGATGAAGAAGAATGTGATAGGCTAACATTTTGGGCTAATCGACAAAAAGGCATGAAAAAACTATGCTATAAGCCAATAGGTGCTAATAAGTAGAATCTTTAAACCTCAGCTAAAATGAATTTCTTTGGCATGTTATCAACTATAATAGATGGTCATAAAGTGCACAATTATGACATAACTTAGTGATGCATAACCAGTAGAATATCAACAATTTCACACCCAATGGATATTGAACAAGTTATACAAACAGGTATGAACAATAAGAAAATGACTTACAAGTAACCATCTATGACAGGACCAAACTTCGCCTGTCTAGAAGTATCCGAGCAGTAAAAACGGATTTTTCCACAGTTAGTGAAGAAGTCCAATGGGTGAACCACCACATCAATGGTTGCTGTATAATCAAAATGATAAAACACTTAAGTGAACACCGATAACAAGCCAATCAATTGCTGAAACGGCTCATAAATCAAAAGAGAACTTTCCCACAAACAATGTCGGTAAAACACTTAGCTCGGTTTTTTTTCAAACTCTCCAGTCGGATGCCTCTTAAAACGAACTGATAAAGAATTAAGGGCAACATAAAAACGAAAAAACAATCAAATTTAATCGTATAAAAAAAAAACTTAGAAATCGAATCCTAGCAAAAAAAGAAATCACCAGTGCCTCCATAGCCGACAAGGACGAGCTTGAAGCTCGGATAATCAACAGTGTGTTGGTTAGGCAAAGCCTACACCACCAAAACAAGAAAAACAAAAAAATAAATCAAGATATATCGCAAACTAAAACCCTAGATTATTATTCAGATTTGAAAACAACCGAAAAATAAGAGAAAAGAGCGAGGGATTTACCATTGGTTACGAAATCCGAATAAGGCAGTGAGACAAGAGAGAGAATCTACGAATCTCTGTTTGTTTGGCGAAAGCAAAGAGAATCGTGAGGAACGAAGATGAAGTGATTTGATTTGATTACTCTAGTCTCCCACCTCTTCTCTTCCCGTCGATAACTTCTTCACAGTCTGCTTGCTACTTCTTTTTACGAAGGAGTGGATGGTAATTTTGTCGTATTATGTGAACAAAAAAAAAAAAAAAGATGTATTTCACATTCGTTTCTTTTGTGCAATAATCTTAGTAACAAAATTCTAATTCTAAGTCATATAATGAAATAAATTTAAAGCAATCTACTATATTTAGATTCTACCCAAATCAAAGTTTGACCAAGAAAGGAATTCGGTTGGGCAACTCCCGCCCTCACCATTTTTTTTAAATTTTCCTCGAGAACAAATATCACATTTTATTTTTTAATAGATAAACAAAAATATATATCATTAAAATTGATATTTAAAAAATTATATATAATTTTTTTATCTAAATAAGTAACAGGATAAAAAATTTTAAGAATAAATTAAGAACTTAAAAAAAAAAAAAAGGTAATAGCTCATGTCAAAGTGTCAATCTTTCATGAGCCAAATGACTATAACTGAAGACGAGAGATGAATAGTAAATTAAAAGGTTAATATATATAAAGTTATGTCTTATACTTTTTTTATCAGTTCAATATTAAAAAAAATTAAAATTTTTATTTTATTAAATATTTTGATATATCATAATGTTATCGTTAATTAAATGATTGATGGATATGAATATTTAATAAAATTATGTTATTTGTTATAAACATTCAATTATCACCACGTTAATTATTATTTATCAACAAAAATTTTATTTTTTCTATCCTCATTCTTTTTTTTTATTATTTTAAAATTTGAATTAAAAATATATTTTTTAAATTTTTTTGAATTTTTTATTTAAATATTGACATAAAAATAAATAATGTTGAAATGATTGAATATTTATGCATATTATATTTTATTAAATATTAATATCGCATAAATAAAATTGATTAATATTATTAAATTAAAATATCATAATTTTTTATGAAAAGATTTAAATATCAAAATAAAAATTTTATTTTTTTAAATATTAAACTGAAAAATATTATATAATGCAGAAGCCAATTTTTTATTTCACCCTAAATTGAAAGTACAAAAGTGTACTTATCTTTTGATATTATATTTGTACAGGAGATTTTATTAGATAGAATAAAATAACCAAAAAACAGCCTCACAAACAGTGGGCGACTCGAAGAAGAAGAAGAAAAAAAGGCCAAACAAGACTGTAGATCTTTGCATCCAGATCATAGCTGAACGCCTGAACCCTCCATCTTCACTTCCTGCTAAAGCATTCCTTTTCTTCAAACCCGCTATGGGTACCCCTTCCGACACCTCTAATTCGTAAGTCTCTTGGAACATTCCCCATTTCCCATATATGTTTTTCTCCTATTTGTTGACGATTTTTTCTTTTTGAATTCTCACAATCACCTTGTTAATATTTCTATTTTAATCTGTATTTATAGGGATGTTGTTTATCGGAGACAAAACAAGGGACCCCCCTTCAAGTTCCTTATCCCTTTAATCTATGCCCCCGTTCTTCCTTTAAGTAAGTTTAAAAAATCTCTCTCGTTTTCCCCTTTTGGGTGATTTTGACATCTGGGTTTTGTTTTATAGATGGTGATCATATTTGGGTTCATTTTCTTAATTGTTTCCTTTTCAGTTCGACTTTCTTTGAGGAAAAACCCAGTTTTAAGGGACCGCTTGTTTACTATTGTGTTGGCTGGAGCTTTTGTTCATGGTTCTTATTTGGTGTATCCTTATTCTTTAATCTTACTTTGCTTTAATTACCTAGCCTGATTGTTGATTCTCTGTTTTTTTTTTTTTTTTTTTGAATATTTTCTCTTAATCATCCATTATTGAGTAGTGCTACCGCATATTCTTTTTATGTTCTCGTTGTCTTTAAGGAAATTGGAGATTATTGCTCGATTTTCTGTGATCTGAACTTTATATGCTCTACAATTACTCAATGTTCTATCCTCTTTTGACTGTTAACCAATTATTGATTTTTGTGATAGCACATATTTTTGCTCAATTGGTAATTGATACAAGTCATATAAAAAAAAATCGACTTTTTTTGTTTAAATTTGATCCCATACTTTCTATCTAAACTGGCATTTGGTTGAGCGTTCAAGGATTGCTAAATGTTGCACCTGGGTGTTTGGCCCAATGATAGGTGTAGGTATCCTCTAGCTTTAAGAAGTTCGTTTAGACTTCCCCCTTTCCCAAAATTTCCTCATGATATGTTGCTATGATTTCTATATGAAAATGCAACTTCTTTTCAATTGGTCATTTGTTTTTAATGATACATGTGTTTGCACAATGCATGGTGCAGATGTTGCCCCTGAAAGATTGATTGTATAGAATTGGTAGATGCATTTAAGCAATATTGTGTTTTAAGTTGGATTCTTTATGCCTATTCGTTTGGTGAGGAAGAAGCAGGGAAAGCATTAAATTTAAAATACATTGGTTTCTCAAATGTTTTAAACTGAAAACCTTGTTGCAAAATCCAGTTCTTTGCTCTGATTGCTTTAATTTTATTCCATCCATCTTTTTCTATTGTTAATTTGCCATTTGGTTTCTCAAATGTTTAAAACTGAAAACCTTTCTGCAAAATTCAGATCTTTGCTCGGATTGCTATAAGTTTATTTGATCCATCATTTTCTATTGTTAATGTGCCATTACTCTTTGGGTTATATTGGTCGTCATCCTCTATAGGGATTAAGATGTGTGGTTCTTAGTGCAAGAAGTATTTACAATATTATATTTGCTTAAAGGGTAAAAAATGCCCTTGAATTATAATTCAATAATCATTTAAGCCTTTAACATTTTATTGCAATCAATCAAGCCCTTAATCTTCTATTTCAACTCAATTAAACCATTAAATGGATGAAATCTAGTCACATGACAAAATTTAACCAATGAATTCCTGAACCACTATCAATTGAATCCTTAGAGGGATTTGAGAGAGAGAGAGAGAGAGAAAATAGACAAGAAAAAAGAAAAAGAAAAAGAAAAGAAAAGAAAAGTTTATTTTATTTAATTTTCACATATATTAATTATGTCACACGACAAACTTTCATCAATTTTATTGATGTCACATAGAATTTTATCTAGTTGGCAAAAAAATTAACGGTGTTAACTTTTTCATCCAAATAAAGGCTTAATAGGATGCAAATAAATGGTGGAGGCATTGATTGATTGCAATAAAAAAAAAAAAAGGGCTTGGATGATATTTTAACTATAGTTTAGGGGCTTTTTATACCCTTTAGCCATTATATTTTCTCATAGTTGTCACCAGTACAAACAAAAAAAACACCAAGTAATCTTATTGTTAAGATTCATACCTTATCTTTATGCTGTCAGCAAAATCATGCTTTATAATCTAATAGATGACAATTGATTTCTATGCTTTATAATCAAATAGATGATGATTGATTTCTATCTCATGAGATCTAACATCCATGGGTTAATGTTCCTTCCTTGGACGGCAATAGTCAATAACTTTATGCATTTTTGTAGCTGTTTTTAAAAGTTAAGTTACACCCTATATTGCATCATTTTATGGTGCAAACTTATAATAATCTTATTTACAAAAACATTGCCTACACATTCCCAATTGTTCATATCTGGCATTTTTTGCCACACCTTTATCTTTCAAGGTAAAGAAAATGTTTGGTTGTAATGTGTTTTCTTAATTTTTCTTTTCCGTTCCAGTTGAACAACAAACAATCTGAGTAAAATGCATGTCAAGATAAAAGTGTGAGAGTTGTGTATCAAAGGGACATGCATTGAGAATTATAATAGTATTGGTTAGTTTATTCAAGAAACATATTTGACGCTCTTAGTTGTCCAATTTATTTGACTTTTTGCTGGAGCTATGTGTATTATCTATGATATTCCTTTAGAATAGCAACTGTCCTATAATATTTCATGATTTTACAACATGGTTCCTGGAAATTTTTTTCTTTTTTTTGAGAAACAAAAAGGTGGGGTATCTTGTTAGAATGTACAAGGGCTGTTTATCAGAGGGGATGTTCAAGTGGAAGCCTGGAGTGTGCCTATAATTGATTTTAGCTTCATTAAATCTGAATCTCTTAGTTCACATATGGAAACTTTTTTCTTTTTTTGAGAAACAAAAAGGTGGAGTATCTTGTTAGAATGTACAAAGGCTGTTTATCAGAGCAGATGTTCAAGTGGAAGCCTGGAGTGTGCCTATAATTGATTTTAGCTCCATTAAATACATCTGAATCTCTTAGTTCACCTATTTCTTTTCATTTCCGTTGAAAGTAACATGCCTTATGTGTACTGGTAATTGGGCACACACATATGATGCGAACGATAAGTAAATGTTGAATACAAATTTGCGACTCATTGGGCACGCACATATGATGTGAACGATAAGTAAATGTTGAATACAAATTTGCGACTCATTGTTTGCATCCTTTCTACTTAATAGTCTGGAATTAAGATATTATGTTGTTATTATGCCAGTGAAAATCTTCTATGGATTTTTTTTGTCCTAGTCACTAGAAACTCCTCTTATAGATATTAGCTTGTAACTATACACCAAGTTCTGTTTTTCTTCTTCTATTTCTTTTCCTTGATAAATATTCAGAGCGGATCTATATGATGCTGAGAGCAAGTGAACATGCAGTGTTTGGCTTGAGAAACTGATTATATCTCTTCATCAATTATTCTTGTTTTTGGGATTTTATGCAGCTTGATCTTCTGAAAGTAGAATGAGTTATAACAAATTGAAGATTTTATTCTTCTCATTCCTTTTATTGGAATGATAATTGTATCTCACATTTATAATTCTTTTGGGCCCAAGATTTAAGGGCTTCACATTGTGGAATTAGTTTCAATTTCCAAGAGAAATAAGATAGAATAAACTGCTTTTGTTAAATTATAACTGCTTTACTGTGGGAAATGTCATGTGATTCATATTCTGTCTATGTACATGAGTTTGAAGTGGGATGCCCGAGATTTCAAGTTGAACAAATTGGTAAGTCTAAAGTCTATTATCTTCAAAAAAATAAAAAATTGCCATCCATGCATTATGCATTGCTGATCTGCATCATTCTTGTGTAATACTCTTGAAGACATTGTCTTGTAACGAAATTTAGATATAGTGGCAAGACATTGCACTTCAAAAGAATTATTTTTGCGAGCTAAACCCACTAGTGTATGCATGGTTGATTGGATATATTTGTAATTTTATTTCATATAGATGAATTGCATGATTTTGAACTTGTCGGGGTTTGGTTTTAAACCGAATAGAGGAAACAAAAAACAGGTGGCTGGAGCCTGGATGTTTGTTTGCTGGACCACAGTGTTAAAGCGCTCTTGGCATGGTTCATGCTTTCTTTTGTCATTTCTAGGCTCTAGCTTTCTTTATCAGCACTTGTTCACTCAATATTCATGTGTCAACTTAAAATCTGTGGGCATAAGAGTTTCTTTCTTTCCCAAACCATAGATAAGTTGTGCCAGAGTTGTGTTTGTAACTTTTCAAAGTCATCTGCTTCGTGTGCTGAATATTTTCTCAGCTGCGGGTTGCCCGTGTCTGAGAGCATAAATTTAGTGTAGAAATAAAATACCAGCAATCGGCAAAGTCGGAACTGTCGGAAACTGTCCCTAAGCAAGTCATGGGTCAGGCCTTCGGCTTTGCTCTAGTTTCCCATTTTGTTTGGATTGTGACGGTCCAGATCAATTTGAGAGATATTACCTATTTCAATTTATTGAATCTTATGATTTTATTTCACAATAACTATTTTACAAATTAAAGGTGATGTTAACATTTGTTTAACATCAACTCTAATATATAATCAATATAGGATTCGTGATTTCTTTTTAGGATTATGATATTTTTTTTATTATCTTTAATGGCACATCACTAGTTTTTTTATAGTTGGCTTTGATATCAAGTATGATGGTTTATATTAATTATAAAATATTGTACTATTTTGTCTCATAAATTAAAGGTGATACGAATCAATTCCAACACACAATATGACATTCATGGATTCTCCCTAGTGCCATTAAACTAGGCTTATTATAAATGTAATGCTAAAAAATTTCTCGCTGACTTTCCCCTTCCAGTTTCTGATAGATGATAAATATGATTTAAATCTTTTCTCTTCCCTTCGGGTCTTTGAATCCTAATTAAAGATCTTTAACATCCCAATTCCATAAGCACTCTATACTTTATAAAATACAAAACAAAACATGAAACATCAGATCATTCATTAAGCCTTAATCCAATGGATTCTTAACTGCTTTGTTCTAATCACCTTTAACTGTTTAATCAGAAACTGTAAATGAGGCCATCGATGAAAGCAAATACCAGTAATTCAGAAATAATAATAAGGATTTGAAAAAGATTCTATACTTTTTATTTACATCAAATATTAAATAATTACATTTTGCCTTAATCGTCTCTTCCACGATACTAAATTCAAACCATAAAATATCGTTTTACAATTTTTTCAGCCCCTTCAGAATACTGGATATAAAAATACTTTATTTCCCTGACTCGTCCTATACTCGTAGATCGGAGTGATCCTTGAAATCGGAGGCGAGTCGAGAAGCAATCGCCGAATGGTACATAACGTCGTGAAACGACGACGTGCTAGTAGTCATCATCCGCAGCTGCCTCGCCTTCTCTTCGGTGAAGCAACCCGGAGAAAACTTCGATCTTGATGATTTTTGTCCCAAATCCGTTTCCGATTCGCCTTCTCTGTTATCCCTGGTCTCTGTTTTGTTATCGGAGTCAATATAATCGGCCTCGGAGGACCATCCAAATATCGGCCCCCACCAGTTGCTGGAGGCAGACGGAGACCTACTCTTCCGGCGATTGGCATCGGGTTTCGGGTGACCGGGAATAGCACATGCCTGGATTACGCTGGGGCGTAAAGTGAGAAGATAAGCAGCCATTGAAACGCCTGTTTCTAAAGGGTAATTTTAGAGAGAAATGTTGTGTTTCTGTAATTGGAGGAAATTTTGGGGAGAAAGTGAAAAAGGATATGGAAGACTTTATAGAGGGGTGTTGGGGAAGGGGGATTCAAGGGAAAAGAAGGTGGAAAGATGGTGGCTGGGACACGTGGAGTTGACTCGTTAGGTTCTTTTTGCTCTTTTTATGACTTTTTTACCGAATGCTCCGGTCAATGTGGGTCCGAGGATGGATTATGGCGATGACTAGGATGGGTTGTGGATTATGACACATCATTTGACTATTTTACCCTCGTTGTTTTTAACTTATTTATTGATTTATTTATTTATTATCATAATAGTTTGTGCTATAAAAAGTAGGGATAATAATAGTCGAGATGAATTTTCGCTCGACTTTAATCCCCCCTTTAATATTTATTTATATTTGAACTTGATTTCATTTAATACTAAAATATTATTTTTTAATATTAGATCTCGTTTGTATATTTATAACTTTAATAAATATAATTTGAAATTAATTTATAATTTTAATTTAATATAATATTTATAAAATATTATTTTTTTGATATAAATCATATTTTAATTATATATAAAAATAATATTTTTATTAAGTTAATATTTTTAAATTAAAATATTAAATAATAATTTGATTAATATAATATATAAATATAAATTTAATAGTAAATAATAAATATATTTTTTATATATATCTAAGTCAAGATGATGTAATCTAAAATTTGATTTTAACCCAAATCCGACATAAAAAAAAAAAAAAATCCCGCCCAAACTAGAACTTTGATTTCAATAAAAAAAATTTTACCTTCTTAGATTGATTCAAATAAAAATCTGTCAAATATAAATTATTTTGTTATCCTTAATAAAAATGTATTTATTATAATATATCAAGATTCAAAAACTCTTTTAATATTTTTGCAATTATTTTATTCGGTAATAATCAAATTATTTTATTTTTATTTGACTAATAAGAGCAATTAGTATCATACCAAATTAGCATTACGTAGGAAATTGGTATTGAAGGAAAAAACCTTTGGAAAAAACACTTAGGATATGAAAAAAATAATTAAATAAAATATGAAATTTAATTGAATTGATTTATATAGTAAAAAAACATTAAATAAATTTAAATTTAAATTTTGCTCTATGTAATTTTTTTATCTTCTTATTATAACTTTTTTAATAAAAATAATAGGTTATTTTCATAACGAGGACATCCAAACTAGTTTACATATTGTCAAATGCAATTATTTTTATATTTGTCTAAACTTCAATTTTTTTTTTTTTTATCTAGAATTATGGATTGACTGTACCAATTACCAAAATTTAAGTCAAGCAGTTCCACTTCATCCGCAACACAACTTACAAGTTATATGGCTAGCCTTGAAACAAAAAGAAGGCAAAAGGAAAGGCTCTATATTAATCCATAATATAGCTTAATAAATGCTAATTAAAAATTCAGCAAATAAATTAAAAATGTCATTACTCATTCTGTTCACTTTAAGCTTCAAACTCAATTGGTTCAATTATTTTAAACTTGAATTCAATAAATGCAGATTCAAAATTTCACTTAATTAGTTTATACAATCATATTAATTAATTTATACAATCATGTTATATAAAGATAATGTATTTGATATTCAAACTTACAATCTCTTTTTGTTATTTTCAAGTTGCAATCTTTCTTATATAAAAAATTTTAATTGTTAGAATTATTTTGAACACAAGAAGTCATCCCAGCTTGATAATAAAAGAAACAATATAAATGATGAGATTATAACCCTAAATTTATTGGAAGTTACCTTTTAAAAATAAATGCATGAAACAATTAAATTAAGTTTTAGATTTATTAGGGTATTTTTCCAAGACCACAAATACTTAACTATAATATTTTTCCTTTTTGGTTCTTGAATTTTGTTCTTAACTATAATATTTTTCCTTTTTGGTTCTTGAATTTTTTTTTTTTTGTTTTTGTTTTTTTCATTAAAGGATGATTGTTCCTTCTTAGGCTTAATTTTGACCATTTCGGTTAATACAAAGATGGAAATTTGTCAAGGAAGACAAAGCTGTAACTAGAAGTTTAGAACACATATCATTCATGATTAATATCTTTCTTTGAAACAAAAATGCATACCTAGAGACCAATATTTGTACGCAAATTGTCTGCCTTTGCTTCGCATATTTGTCAATATATAATATACATCGAATAGGTGAAAATGGACATATATAATCGACTCATTGTAAACGTTGATATGCAACATTGTTTGAACGCTGGAAACGCTCCAAAAGCTTGGAGTGGAGGTTTTTAGAAGAAAAGGTGGTTTCCTACTTTCCTTCCTCAATTCAGCTGTCGAGCTTTACCGTTAGTGCACGCGACAAACATGTGGGGTACGTAGAAAGTAGAAACGCGGAGTCTCTAGAGAAATTTGTTAAGGGTATGTCTTCGTCTGTGTCCAGCTGCAGTGTCCTTATCCGGCTAGCCGACTCTGTCCTTTTGTTGGGGTCAAGTTGCCAAATTTGAACAGTCGGCCAGGCAGTAGTAGACTGTACGTAGAGTAGAGCCACGCCCTTCCAAGTTACAAGTTGAGACTTTAAACTATGGCCGTCCGTCGTTTCTAGGTAATGGATGGGGTGCCAGCCAAATGTATTGAACATTATTTGACCCTAAGTTCATGACGAAAATATGACATCTTAAGCAAAACATGACTATAATTTTCCCTATATCAAACTGATAAAAAAAGATTATATTTTGCTAAGCTTTGGCCTTTGTAATCAGGCAAAGCAAAGTACTATTTTTGATTGAGAATAGAGTTGTAGATGAAAAGGGATGTGAGAAATAATGGAAGTCACAAAGGCAAAAGATTGCAAGGGGGAGCTGCACATAATCATTCAGCTATAAACGTTGAATGTCTATTCTCAGTAGGCAGATGAAATTTTCAAAGCGCATTCTCAATACATTCAAGCATCTGTTATCCGATTCAAGATGATAAGGACTATGATTTAGGGGACAAAAAAAAGGGATTGTGATGAGCCTGAGAAGCTTGACCAGCCAAGACAACACAATCGGTGGATGCATGCACACCTGCAAAACTGGCCCATTAGCCACCTAATGGGAGAGGCTAACCCCTACTAAGCTAATCTTGCTGTTAATTAACTAATGCCAAGCCCTTCTATACATTTTTTTTTTTTTGGTTTCGCTAGCTAGCGCAAAGCTAGCAAAACACGAGCAAGAGACGCTTAGCCGGCAGATTGCATCTGATGCAACCAAGGCATGGGCAGATGGTGTCTCCAGCGCTTGTGCGTGGGGTCAAGCTTGTCAACTTTTGCCGCATGCATGGCAAAATTTAATCGGCCATGTATTTCTTAGTTAGGAAAAAAGATCAACACCGTTAATATTTTCATCCACATAAAAACTTAATTTAACGTAAATAATTATATAAGAATTAAATTTATTACAATAAAAAAAAAAGGAACTCAATAGTAAATTTAATCAAGTTTAAAAGCTTTTCGTTTCATAGAGCAGAAGATAACGTTTCCTTCTTTCCACATTCATAATCATATGTGAAGATGTTTGGATTCTATAAACATCCCAATTTGTCCGAAGTTCAATTTAATCTGATTCTTGTTGATTAAATAAATAATAAAAAAAAAATAAAACTTTGGCAAGTTGAGTTTGTGTAAGACTATATGTGAGAAATTTAAATTGAATTTAAAGATTGAAGTCGAAATTAAAAGGAATAAAATTTTATTCGAGTATAGGATTTTTTGGATCAAAAGAGATAAAAAATACATAAAAAAAGAGAAATCACGTAGAAACACAGATCTAAGGGAAGAGATATAGAGAGGAAAAAAGCACACGGCAGTGCTGAGAGATAGAGGGAGAAGAAGGTGTTGGAAACAATAAAAAAGGAGGGTTTTTGCTTAAAAGAGAAACCATGTAGAAGGGTAAGTGAAAAAATAAGGAAAGTAGAGTGATTTGATAAAGTTTGAATTGATTTGAAGACTTTCCAGGAGACCCACATGCTTGTCTTCATTTTAGTCTTACTTTTCCTAACTTTTCTTAGTTCATAATTCTTTATCTGATTATTTAGTTACTTTATTTTATGTATAATTCTTTAAAAAGTATTTTTATATTTGATATTGATAAAATATATAATAATATTAATTTTTGTATTTATTTTATTTATTTATTTGGTTATCTTATTTGATTATTTATTTTTAAAGTATTTTGGCATGGCTAAATTTTTAAAAAATAGAAAAAAATGTAAAATTTTTTAGAATAAATAATAATTATCCAATTATAGAATTTATAAAAATTTTAAATGATAAATTTTTGTAAAATTTTTAGGTGAAAAAGTTTATTTAAATTTGTCCCAAAAAGTAGAATAATTTAGATAAAGTTTCAATAACAATAATTAATATTTATTTTCAAACAAAAAATAGAAATAATAAAAAAAATAAAAATATTAATAACAAATTTAAATTAAATACAAATTTCCCAAAGATGAGATTCTTAGAAATTTCAAATGATAAATTTTAAGAAATCTTAGGTGAAAATTTTTTAAATTTGTCTTAAATTGTAGAATAATTTAGATGAAATTTTAATAAAAGTAATTGTATTCTTTTCTAAATAAAATGTTTTTATTGAAAATATTTGATAATTATCTAATAATGAGATTTTTATAAATTTCAAATTGTAAATTTTTTAAGAAATCTCTATGTGAGAAATTTCTTTAAAATTGTCCTAAATGGTATAAGAATTTAAATAAAATTTCAATAAAAAATAGTTGTCATATTTTCTTTTTTTCAAAAAATAAAAAATTTTTAAATTGATCCAAATGGTGAAAATTTTAAAAATAAAAAATTTTTAAATAGGCCCAAAAGGTGAAGAATTTAGAAATTCAAAAGAGAAGATATTTTTAATTTGGCTCAACTGGTGGAATAATTAGATATATTTTCGACAAAAAATCAAAGATAAAATTAATTAAATCTTTTCCAATGACGGAGCCTCTTCAAGAAAATAAATAGGATTCTTGAATATTCTCGAGGTGAAAAAT